ACATACCTTATATTCACAAGAAAACGCAATTTTTAATAATAAAAAAGCAGTTTACTCATTGTTCCAATAACAGTAATATCAGTACGCAGGTTGTGATTGAGCAAGCTCTTTGTTTTTCAAAAGCTAGGCTAATCATTGGCTATTGCTAAAATCTTGAACTGACTGGAATGAACAATAGTATCACATTCTCATAGAGCATGTAAAAGTATATTTCATTTAATAAGGGATCTCAGGTTAGCATGTCCTTTCATTCGCATTCACAATATTCTTTTGTTGCCTTGACAAAAGCTAACAAACAAACTAGACTTAAAGTTAATACATTTACTCTCAATACACGAAAAACTTTTGAGTTCTTTACTCCCAATCCAAGAAAAAATTGCTTATCTACATTTTAGTCCTTTACTCCCAATTCAACATAAACTTGCTTATCTAGAGTTGGGTCCTTTGCTCCCAATCCAAGAAAAACCTGTTTATCCGGAGTTCGTTCCTTTACTCCCAATCCAAGAAAAACTTGATTATCTAGAGTTGAGTACATTATTCCCAATCCAACAAAAACTTTCTTATATAGAGTTGAGTCTATTATTCCCAATCCAAGAAAAATTTGATCATCTAGAATTGGCTCCTTTACTCCCAATCCAAGAAAAACTTGTTTATCTAGAGTTGAGTCCCTTACTTCCAATCCAAAAGAAACTTGCTTTTCCAGAGTTGGGACCTTTACCCCCAAGGCAAGAGAAACTATTTTATCTAGAGTTTGGTTCTCTGTTCCATATCCAAGAAAAGAACTTTCTTTTTCCAGAGTTGGGTCCTTTACTTCCAATACAAGAGAAACTATCTTATCTAGAGTTTGGTCCTTTACTTTCTATCCAAGAAAAAGCTTTTTTATTTAGAGTTCGATTCTTTACTGATAAAACCATAACAATTGTTTATCTACAGTTTGGTCATTTATTTCAATTACAAGAATAACTTGCTTATCTAGAGTTGGGTTCTTTACTTCCAATCGAGAACAAACTTGTGAATTTAGAGTTGGGTCCTTTACTCACAGTCCCGGCATGGCCAGTTGGTTAGGGCGCTCGACTCGCAATCTGAGGGTCGCGGGTTCGAATCCATGTCCCACCAAACATGCTCGCCCTGT